GTGTGTGTGTGTGTGTGTGTGTGTGTGTGTGTGTGTGTGTGTGTGTGTGCATGCGTGCGCATGTGGGTGTGTATATGTGAATGACAACAGAGGATTAACTGGATCACAAATAGCCCTTGAGTTTAACTTTGCCCTCATTGAAAGCTTCAGAGGCCAGCTGTATATCAAGGTCCAACTAGTCTTGGGAACGGGAACCTACCCTATCAGGTGGCCAAACCACCAGGCATCACATAATTAAAGAAAACTGACTCTTTTCCAGCAGCTATCAAGGTCAATAGCTCCTCATCTTATACTAGGATTTAATGTTCATTTCCTATCTCTACACTTAGTTATTTTCCTGGCTTCAGTTTGCACAGGTCTTGTACTTGCTTTTAGATGTTGTAAGTTCAAATGTACAGTTGCCCTGTTGTGTCAAGAAATGATTGTTTCCTTCATGTTTTTCTATCACCTCAGACTCCTACAATCCTTCTTCTTCCTCTTCCTCAAATATCCCTGAACCTTGTGGGGAGGGGTGTGAGATGTATGTCTCCTTAGGGCTGAACACTCCATTGCCCCTCATTCTCTGTGCAATGACTAGAGGAGAATCTCTGCATTTATTCCCCTTGAGGAGTTACTTCTTATTGTTTTCTTCTCCCACAGATTTAACTTGCATGAAGGACAGACTGTCAGCCAGCTTCTGCCAGACACTAAAATCCATGAAGAAGTGTTCTGTGCCCTCAGTGAGAGCCCAGTGCTGCCTCTCCTGTCCACAGGCACAGAGCATCCACACCCAAAGGCAACGCAAACAGCAGATGCTCCAAAATCACGACACCCTCTAGGTTCAGAAAGAAGCCACCATCAGCATCCTCCATATCCTCCTGCCCAAGAACATCATCTAGAAGGTCACTTCACTTACATTTCACTTTACACATTCTAGGTTCAACTTTAAGTCATAACAAAACAAAATGCAATGTCTGTGTATGTGTACCCCCAAAATGTTCCCCACAGAAAGCTTGGGGCTGGCTGCTCCCTCATAGGAAGCCAAAGTATCTGAAAGAGTTGTGAAGCAGCTGAGATGAGTTCCTGGGGAAAGTGCCAGATTAGGCAAATCTGGGAAAAGATGTCTTTTCTCGCTTAAAGATGAAAACATATATTAGGTTTGTTTGGTTGTTTTTTTTTTTTTCCAAACTACCTCAAGAACATCAAGACACAGAACCACACTTACCCAGGGAACAGATAATCTTTTAAATTTGTCTTCATGAATATATCCTCCTTGGCTGCCGTAGGTAGCCACTGTTTAAAAGTCATGGGGACAACTTTTGGGAACATCTATCCAGTAGACAATAAGAACAGGAAGAGAATGCTAGCTATGGCCCTTAGTCTACCTTCCATCTGTGCAGGACTTCACAAGTGGAAACCTAGAATCTTGGGACAAATCCAGGAGATTCAAGATTAAGTAAACACCTTGCATCAAATGCATCCAAAGGGGATTAGATTGGTGATCCAAAAGTCACCTTGACTTAAGTTTAGTTTCTATTAAAAGTCCTAAAAATGCAAATGAACAGAAATCAACTTCTTGCTAGCATAAGAAAGAAAATGTGGGTTTTGTTCTTTGAACTTCCCTGGCTTTGTCAGCTCTTTCACAGCTAAATGAGTGCTCCTGTCTGCCATTCTCTGTCTTGCCATATCCCTATTTGAGTCATGACCTCAGATCTTACCATCACTCCAATGCAGAAGGGTTATAAACAAAAACTGCTACAAAGAGGTTGTCATGGTTGTTCTTGAATAGAACAACCCTATCCCTCTCTTGAGATAAAAAGTGAAGTTATAGGTTAAACCACTTGAAAAAAATCAGGTAAATTGTATGAAGTTTAGAAATTTAGTCAGAATTTATAGTTTAGAAGACAACAAATTCTAAAAAGTGGGCAAGATGATGTATTTAGTGTGTCCATTAGTGACTTTTAAAAGTCTTTTGCCTCTAGAGATGTAGAGCTGGGGTAGAATGCATATTTAGCAGGTGCAAAGTTGTACGCTTGATCTCTATCAACACACATGCATGCACATGCACATACACACAGAATCAAACACAAAGACTAATTTACCTTGTGGAGAGTAGCAAGTAGAGAGGGTTCCAAACACTGAAATAGAAGTTAGAATGCTTATTTTAGACATTGCCCCCTGATGAAGTCAGAGTAGGCTGTGGTTGCAAACTCAGAGTGAATTTCCAGCTGAGCCTGTAGACCGAACCTAGAGTGAAAGGAGGGTGTGTGGAGAGATATAAGCCCTGGGGAAAGACCTCAGAACCTACTCTTGACAAGATGTGACAGACCGCACAGTTTTAGGCTTACGCACCAATATGCATGTCTTCATTCTGAAGTACAATATCCCACACCTCCCTGTAGTTACCCATCCATTCAGCAGAATGGTGCTATTGAACTTGGTGCTATAACCCAGATGATGGCAGAACTAGTAGAAACATTATCAAGTAGTCATATGAATGGCTAAGTGTATACAAACTTCCACATAGACATCTGCCTTGTATGAGATGGTGTTGCTGGCCAATGCCAGTTTTATTTACTCTGAGACCATGGACACAACATTATATAGCATGTTCTTTTAAATTCTTTCCAGCCACAGTATTCTGATTGATTCCTGTGGAAAATGAAACACTGGGCTTTGCATAAAATTCAAGGTATACCAGAAATAGAAATAAGTAGGTATTTACTGAAGCCAGGTAATTTACGTGTAGTTAAGCACACATTCTTGCATTCTGTCTTTGCATATAAACATTGCTGGCCAATGACAATCTATGGTGAAATAGAAATTTTAGAGAAACACTTACATTATTCTGTTAGTGGCATAAGTGGAGAAGTGGAGGAGAACTTGACTTTTTGTAATGAAAATTTTGCAAAGATTAGTGGTATAGGCTTCAGAGGGATTAATTTAGTAAGCCATGTGAATTTAACTTACCCTTGTACTGTTGCAGCAAAGGGTAAAATGCATGACATCAGGGTCCTGGGTGTGACCAGGCTTACAAAACTCAGGAACAAACCTGGATTTCTACTGACCTCATTAAACTAACATAGGCCAGATTTCCCAATGCAAAAAATAGACCATGTCATTTGGGACCCATGTGGTGGAAAATATCGTAAGCCTGTGGGGAAGGTCTGGCCAGGTGCTCCATTCTAGATCTTTCTCCAGTTTCTCAACTATAAGAACTAGGCCTCTGATCATGCATCATGAACATCTCCTTCTTCTACCATGGTGAGACTGTTCTTCGGCATGCGTCATTTTTGTTTGCTCTGGGAGTCATCAGTCAGCTATTCATCTGTGGGGTATCAGTGTCTCCACTGATCTTTGATGCTAGGGATGCTAGAGCAACCTTAAATAGTAAGTAGGATGACCCTGACAACAAGAACTGGATAATGTCTTCATGGGCTGAAATGTGAAGCCTTGGTTTATTTTATCTGTGCCTTCCTTCAGTAACACCTTCAAGGTGTGCACAAGAACTTCAGCGAGAGACACTGTATATACAGTTACCATGAGCCAGACAGGTCTACCATAGGGCCTTGTGAATAAATACGTCATGCAGGATTTACATTGCTTTTCAGAGTGATAGAATTAGCTCTTCTCCAAAAAGTGATAGGTCATTTAATTCTTGGAGATTAAAACAGTATTATGCCACAAGAGAACAATATTCCTAGAAACTTCATAGTAAATACTTTGTTCAAGTCATGAATCAAGTCCTTAACAAATCAACTCTTACTTCTGTCGGAGTAACTGGTTAGTCATAGGTTTTCTTAAACAAAAGCACACACACAAACACACACGCACACACACACAACCTCTTTCTGGTCTCCTGAGACTGCCATGTATTCACTGGAATTCCAATGCAGAGCTTTCAGAGAGTCTGTTTTGACCAACCTCCATCAAGACTCTGAAATACAGTTTGAAGAATTATATTATTTCGGACCCTAACTTCCCATTTAGGTATCTGAAGTTCTTGGAAATCTATGTATTGGTCACCGAGAAGGTACAAGCTAGCTTTCTCCTTTCTCACTTTAAGATGAAGCTCTGGGACGGTCTGTCTGGTGCTCAGTCCATATGATCCACTTCCCAAGGGAAAGACCACATGTTGTGAGCTTCCTGGTGCTATAACCAATCGAATATATTTAATGCTACTCTTGTTGCTAATTCAAATGTTTTTATTTTAAGTTGTGACACTAAAAATAATGTGCTGGGGGAAATGTATTTCTACCTATCATTGCCCTCCAAAATGATGGCATAACATACATGACTAACGCACTGTCTCCCCTGTGCTTCTACTTCATCAGCTGGCTCCCTGGCTCTTTGTGTACCTGATGAGTACCTCAGTGTTAAAATCAGATTGTAATCATAGTCTGTCTTTGTATGGCATCAATAAATGGCCAAACTCATTGATGTTTCCTTGTGATTCATTTACTCCTACTGTGAGACTTTCAGTACCCACCACAGTATTATCATGGAGCTCAGCAACCAGAAGATGTTACTATCAATTTCTCCCTCCTACATTCCTCCCAGACTTCCTCCTCCTCAACACCTAGACAAGTGCAATAGCCAATGAGTCATATCCCAGGTGAGTAGAACTTAAATTTATTCTCATGAATGCGCAATATCTTAGGGTTTTCTATTGCTGTGAAGAGACACCATGACCATGGCAATTTTTATAAAAGAAAACATTTAATTGGGGATGGCTTACAATTAAGAGGGTTAGTGCATTATCATCATGATGAGAAAATTGGGGGTATGCAGGCAGACATGCTGCTAGAAATGTATCTGGGGGTTCTACATCTGGATTGGTAGGCAGCAGGAAGAGAGATTGACACTGGGCCTGGCCTGAGCATCTGAAACCTCAAAGCCCCCCACCCACCCAAGTGATACACTTCTTTCAGAAAGACCACACCTACTCCAACAAGGCCATACATCCTAATAGCGCCACTCTTCTATGGGCCTATGGGAGCCATTTTCATTCAAACCACCACCTTTAACAGATATACATATAATTACATATTATATATATATGTATATATATATGTATATATATACATATATATATATACATACATATATATATATATATGTGTGTGTGTGTGTGTGTGTGTGTTAATGTGAATTGATGCCTAAAATACCTCTTAATACTGAATCCAGTATAGTCAGACCCTCATCCTGTAGTATGAGTTCTTCTCTTGGTGTTCTAAGTTTAGTCAAGATGCTTAAAAGAAAGTAACTCACATCTAGAGAGGTTTGCATGAGGAAGCTAATCCTTTCTCAAAGACTGCATAAAGCTAATTTCAGGAAGCAAAGGTGAAATTTGTTGATATAGAGAAGGAATCCACTAATCATATAAGCAAAAGCATTGAAAAGGAACCAACTGGATGAGGATGATGACTCTTAAAATTTTCTTAAAATTTTTGAGAATATATTTAGCATGGTCAGAAAAATGAGTTTGATCAATGTGGCATCACCAAGGACTATGGGCACCTTCCTTCTTGTACCTTAAACACTATTCTTGGCTACAGAGAGCTCTTTCTTGCCCTTCAAATTTCTGGTCAAATGTCTCTGGCCTTAGGAAGATTAAGGCACACTTCTGCTCCTGCTGTGCCCTGCACATTTTCCACACTTTGCACTCTTACTCAGGAGAGATTTTATTCCCAGGAGACATGTGGCAATGTCTGGAATGTTCTGGGTTTTCACAGTGAGAGTAGAGGAATGTTGCCATCATCTAATCAGTGGAGGCCCTGATGCTGCTGTATGTTTAAAATTCTCAAAAAAAAAAAAAAAGTAAAATCGTATTTTTAAGAGAAAAGAATATCTTGACATTGGAGGGAAACTGTAATCATGAGCTATCCCAGATCTCATGGGCCAGTCTAGGGAGTGAGGTATCTCAGTTTTTAACTCAGAGCAATAAACTAAAGACAAAGCAAAAATAAATAAATAAATAAATAAATAGATAAATAAATAAATAAATAGATAAATAAATAAATAAATAAATAAGAAAGAAAGACATGGAGCAGTGATATGCCACAGGTTTGAATTAATCATCCTCTTCTAACAGAGGTCTCTAATCAAACAGAAAGAACAAACAATTAGTCAGCTCAAAAT